TGTAGGAACACCAGCATAATCAGTGCATTGATACAAACTGTACAGACCTTTAACTTTCATTTCTGCTGATCCAATATTATAAAATAATATTTCTGTGATATCCCTCAGCTACTAAGCATCTCTTGTACTGACACAGAAATCAATAAGAAGTTAATATGTGCTACAACAGTTATTGTAGAATCCTTTTGTGTTTCAGCTATCTCTTTCTCTTTTGGGTTAATTGTCTCTACTGTCTTCAAAATGAAATCAATTAAAAATAGGCAAAAGGCCATTTCCACCTGCATTCCACACTTGACAGTATTTTCCTTGTTTGCTGTTACTGCTGCTTTCTCTTATGCCAGACCAAAAGGCTTGTCCTCTCCCTTTACAGATTTGTTGACAGCCCTTTTGTATACTATTCCACCTCCATTAATGAATCCCATTATCATTACTCCGAGAAACGAGGACATCCAATTTACTTTGTGGAAATTATTCAAGATAAGATTGGAAATTGGTATGTGAATTTCCTAATTATTTTCTACATACACCGAGGACAACGTGTTTTGCAAGACATCAACTTTGGCTCCTTCAGTATATTTAGGATAATGGTTAAAAATTTCTTTGCCAAGATTTAATTCTTAATTATTTAAATATCTTAAACTGTATTAAATGGACCTGGTTTTTTTTAATGATGCTACTGGAACGGACAGAAAGTGGGAGTATAAATTCAATAATAAAACAATAATATTCATTCATAAAATGAATAAAATGTCTATATTAAAATATTTCTGTAGATGATCAGCTACCATAATAATTAAGTAGTAGTAGACTCACTGATTATTTTTATTCATGTCCACTAAAGTCCAATTTGCCAATTCTCTCCCATAGAAATTTCAGTTTTATAAAAACAAAGTAAAGTAAACTAAAATAAAGAAATTGATTCCCCCCCCTCCCAATCATTGTAGACAAATTTGTTAGTGCCTATAGCTCTGGACTGGTTGTGCTCTTTTGGATCTAATGTAACAAAAATTTCAATATCTCTTTTTGGGGATCTCTAGTTATTTGAGTTATTGAATTAGATATCTACTAAGTTCTCTTGTTATTGAAAGTGAATTGAACAAATACCTAGATTGCTTTCAATGAGACTCATCTTAAAAGGAACTAAATTATCCTATAAAAATAAATGGGATTCAAATGTATTCACTGTTGGAGAGAGCTGGGGGAGAGGGAGAGAGGTGCCCATGAGCAACAAAATTGGAACATTCTGCTCATAAAAATTGTGGACAAATTTTTGAAATATGCATAGTTTAATACTCTTAATTTTAATCTTAAAGAAAGTTCTGTTGCTTTTCATCTGTTAGTCCATTTCTGAAGTGTGTTTTATTAATTTGTTGGATGATTGGTTGTTTGATTGGTCTACTACGTACACTGCCAAATTGACACTTTGACAGTTTACAGCAATAGTCAAAAAGAAAGCGTCTATACTCTTCCATATAAAATCCATCATAAATCAAAACTGCATTCAAAATCAAGTCAAATAATCAGAAATACATACAAAAAGTAGCTATGTCAATCAATAGCAACTAAATCTAAATATAATTGTTTGCACTTTGCAAATTAAAAAAAATGCCAGATGGAAGACAGAATGCAATTTGGTGACAAAGTGTTCCATAATGTTAGTGCCACTACTGTACAATACTTTCTCCAGGTGGGTGTCCTTGTAAAATTTAGGGCTGAAAAACTCCTAAGCATCCCTTTTCACAATGCATACAGAGGACAAGGTGAGGAGATGTTCCTCAGAGTAACTGGAAAATGAATCATATAGTTGATGTTTTTTTCATCCAGCCAGAAGCACCTCCATTGCATGTTCACTTGGCCTGGGATTCTTATGTATTATTGGGAGTCATAAAGTTACTGACAATGTTTCGTTCCAAACCTATGGATAACTTATGTGAGTAATTTCACATAGCTGTCAGGTAATGGGGGAAAGAGGTAAGCCTTATGACATTCCACATTGGAACAAGCATGGATTCAACTACTGCTTGCCCACCCCTCAAACAGGAGAAGAATCACTATAGAAGGGTGCTCTTAAGCTTTCAGTTTTGCAAATAGATACTATGGTATATAACATCAAATGTTTAACAAAGATTAAGAAGCTCTTGCTGTTATAAATGAGATAAATTATTATATTCATTGAGCATCACTTTGGAAGAAAGGCAGGATAGAAATGTAATTAATGAATATATTATTATATATGCTGAATATATTATGGTATTTCAGCACTGTGGGCATGGCAATACTGAATTTGTTCATTCGATTTCATTTTAGTTTTCTTTAAAACATTCGCCTTTATTCATGTGTTCTTCAGTGTTCATTTATTTGCAGTAATCATCTCCCTCTCAAGCATCTTAGTTGGTGCAGAAATTATGACACTCTAATATCCTCTACTAATTTGAATTGGAAACCACTATTGCTGACTTCAGTCTTTGTGAGTCAGGCATGAAAGTGAGCATGAATACAGTAGGATGGTTATAATTAATAAAAGTTTGTTAATTCCAATACATATACAATTGGAGAGAATCTATTCAATTCAGTCATCATAAATCTCCCTAGTGGTGAAAAAGGAATTGATGCACAAAATGAGCTTTTCTCCCTCCTCTACCTTGGAATAAAATTAACAAAAATTGTACTGAATTCTTTGTATATTTAGATTCTGTAATTAAAGGGAAAAAATAGTCAGACAATGGAGAATCCAAACAGAATTCTATAAAGTAGTACAGGCTGCTTCCATTGTTAAACTTGTGATGGTTAGGCATGGCCATGCTGAAGTGGAATCAGGTAGCAATTAATTAATTGAAGTGAAAGTGAAAGGCTGTTTAGTTTACACTTCATGTTTGGCAAGCAAACAGCAAGGAAGAACTAGCTTGGTTAAATGACTTTTTACTATAAAGTTAATGATTAAAAGCAGAACAGAAAAACAATGCCTTTTATTTTGGTTTTCATCCTTTCTGATTGTTCACTTTTGTGTTAAATCTGCACATACTTGTTTATCACTTTCTCAAATATATGATCATCTTTCACATTTGTCTCTTGTGTATTTTTCATCCTATAATTTCAGTTGAATCTAAATTATTAAACTAAATCGCATCATTGTTCAATATTACACTGTAGGAAGTGTGCATTAGATTAATTTCCTTAAAGTTTCAGAACTCCTGAGATCCAATAACATTTTGATAATATAAAGTAATTCAATTCCAGGTTGAGACATGCAGCTTCTTTGGCTGAAGGGGATCTCAAAATCTTCTATCATCCTCAACTAACTAAAAGTTTCCATTTTTTTTCATTGTTTCTACATTTCCCTCTTGCTGTTTAGCTGTAGGCAAAATAAGGAATCTAAATTGTGTATCTCTAAATGTACTCAGCTGTTAATTGTATCTTATTATAAACATTGCTTCAGAGAATGAACAAGAGAATGAACACAACATTCTCTGAAACTTCATGAAACAATTGTGACATTCTTCAGGTGCAGATGAAGATTGCAAAGGACAGATATGCAAGCCCAGAAAAAGATACAACTGCTTCCTCTTCTATGGAGGGCATTGATCTGGAACACATCCAATGTCATTTCCAACTCTACAAACCTTTGATTATATTTTTTCTTAATATACTTTTTTCAAAACACACACTTACAAAAGAGGTTGAGAACCAGTTTGAAAGGGTTTTGACTCATTCCTTTTTGCCATACAAAAATGTGAACAAGAAATTGATGGATTAGAAAGCAACACCCACATAAATTGGGTAAAAGTTGAGTTTATTAAGCAAAGGAGATCAATGCATAATGACAAAAAATATCCACAAACAATGCAGGAAAAAAGACAGCAATATTCAATAGAGGAGTATAAATGTACAAGAAAATTTCATATCTCTTTAACTGAAAGCTCCCCACCCTCATCAAAAGAAAATATTGATATTGCCTAGATAATTCCATTAATCATATGACATCTTTCTGAAGTACTCTTATGCTAAGCAGAAGATAGTACAGATGACCTAAAATTTAGATATGATGTTTGGTATGCCTTATCAGTAGCTTTGATGAAATTGATCATCCTTAAGCACATTTCATCCTAATGTACATCCATTTATATTTGTTCCTTCAAGTGTTGGACCACGCAGCATATCTCATCTTTTCTAATTTGTATGAAGTTGTGAGATTTCTGAAAGTTTATATGATATTTTATTGGAATTATGCATCTTGTGATTATCAAATTACAATTAGTGACAAGCTTATCCATCCTATCCACATTGTCAGATATTTAATCTTTCCAAAGAACTTCTAAGGAAAAGAGAACACTCCTGAGATAAAGTATGTAAAAACCAGTTTGATGTAGTACTTAAAGTATCAGACTAGGAATAGGGAACCAGTGAGTTATAATTCACTCTATGCAATGGCAAACCTCTTTGGAAATAGCTTGCCAAGAAAAATGCATGGAATTATGCAAAAAGACACCAGGGGTTAAGACCAACTCAAAGATGCAAAATATCAAAATGTATGAGCAAATGACCATTTAAGGAGAGAAGAATGTAGAGTCCTATGTATGTCTGGAAAAACTAAAGCTTTAACTAGCCATATTATGTACAAGCATTAAAGCAGAAGCCAGTCCACTTAGGAAAACATTGAGAAAAATAGACCACATCATTTAAACTTTCCTACTGTTGCAGTTTTTTCCCATAATATTGCACCTTGATCCTTCCTTCATTAAATCAGGATTTGTCAGCTTGTGGAATGCCAGAGGTTGCCAGACATTTAGCATCTATAAAATGCATTGATAGTAATTAGGGATGCAGGATTTTTGCTGATCAGTCACTGGAATTCAATTCTTTTAGATGAAGAGGTTAATCTGCCTCCATAGAAGTTATATATCTCCCTTTCTAACTTACTGATTTATTCAAAGAAGTAAAGGAAATGACATGAACATATAATTTTCTGTTGAATAGAATATAAATAGCACTAAAATAATTTTTTAGAACTTAAAGATTTTATAAAGGACAAATTTGATATTCTTATTTCTCAGGCTATAGATGATTGGATTGAACAGGGGTGGAAGAAGGGAATACAGAACAGTCAACCCAAAATCTAAGTAAGATGGGGTGTTAGAGGGAGGCCTCAAATAGGCAAAAAATCCAGTTAATAAAAACATAAAGACTACTGTAAGATGAGGAATACAGGTTGATAAGGCTTTTTGCCGCCCTTGTTCAGAAGGGATTTTTAGCACTGCCTTGAAAATCATGACATATGATGTGATAATAAAAGTAAAACAACCTAGTCCTACAATGATACTGACCACAATAACTCCAAACTCAACTAGACTGAAACCAGAGCAGGATAATTTTAGCAATTGTGGAATTTCACAGAAAAATTGATTAACAACATTAGAACAAAAAAGGATTGAAAAAGTGCCAGTAGTGTGCAATGTTCCATAGAGAAGACTTATAATCCACACTAAAATTGTTATTTCAGTGCAGGCTTTCCAATTCATCACCATCTCATAGTGCAGGGAATTGCAAATAGCAACATACCTATCATATGCCATGACTGTCAGGAGAGATAAATCAGAAGCTGCAAATGAGACAAAGAGAAAGACTTGAGCAACACAACCAAAATAAGAGATGTGTCGTGTGTCTATGAGAGAATTTATCATAGATTTAGGGACAATGACGGAAACTGAGCCCAAGTCCTGCAAAGCCAAATTCATTAGAAACCAGTACATGGGGCTATGAAGTCGATTATCTATTGCTACTGCAGAGATGATGAGAAGGTTTGCTATTACAATTGACAAATATAACACAAAGAATAAAAAGAAATGTAACATCTGTAAATGCCATTTTTTTGAGAATTCCAGGAGCAAAAAGTAAGCCACTGTGGTTTGATTATCCATGATTAATTTATGAATTAATTTCATTTAACTTAATTTAATTTATAAACAGAGATGGGGAAGGTAGTTAAAAACAGTGAACATATATAACTTGGTACAGTCTCAGATCAGAATTGAAAAATAGAGGGAAAACATGCAAAGAATGAAAACACAGTTCAGAAAACGGATGTAATACATTTTGTGTCCGATTACAACACTATTTATATATTTCAAATTATCCTTGACTAAACACCAAACCATAAACCTCCATTTTCTTCTGTCTTTCATTTCTTTTCCTTGTTGTATATATTAAAATGTTTGCCTGGGACTTGAAATATCTTTTCAAATCATTTTAACTGGAGTTTCTGGAGTTTCTGGAGTTTTTGAACCAGTAACTATCTCTTATCACTCTTAAAGAATTGTTACAATAATGGAAAATTGAAGTCAGATGTCCCGTATAGAGAGAACACCTTAAGGAAAGGCTGGATGCAAACCTAATAGAGAAACAATAGAATTAGTTGCTATGTCCTTTTACTTTGAAAAAATTGAAGGAATGGACTTTCAATTGGCTGAATTTGTATAGCACATATAGAAAAAAACACACACACACACACACACACACACAGAGAGAGAGAGAGAGAGAGAGAGAGAGAGAGAGAGAGAGAGAGAGAATTTAATAGTCAGTCTGGGAATGTTGTCAATTGAAAAAAATGGCTTAATGCTTCAAGCCTTGACAACTTTAAGATGCATTGAATTCAACTGAGGTATTCTGGGAGTTCAAGACCACCCACTTTAACATTGCCAGTGTTTCTCAACCCTGGAAATGTTAAAGTGGGTGGAACTCCCGGAAGCAAATAAATATTAGTTGACAAACACATAATTGAAAAATACCTATATGTTAATACCTTTAAGTACATTAATGATATATTTGAATTTTACAAAAGAAAACATTATAATTCATGCTGGTATTGAGCAGGTGGTCCTTAAAATTACAGTACATGAAGAGGAAAGCATGTTCAGCTTAAGAAAAATGAGAGCTAAGGAGAACACATTCATATTCTAATCAAAATTCTCCAGTTAACATTTCCTTATCTTAAACATTTACAAAGGTTTAAAAATAAGATCAGTTTGACATGGAAATCAATTACCAAGGATGGAGCTGATTTATCTTTAGTGAATGTTTTCAAGAAGTGGCTGGACAACCATCTATCAAAAATACTCCAATTTGGATCCCCAAGATACTCTATTGGATTTAATATCCTAAATAACCTCTTCTAACTCTATGATACCATACTATAGTTCTGTAAATCTTGGTTGCCAAGATTCATATTTTTCATACACTGAATTACTTTTAGTTTATTTTTCATTGTTTTCTAGTTTTAATGTAAACTGGACAGTCACATATTTTGATCTATATGTCTAGCTAAACTATTACCACCTTTAAACTTTCCAAATCAATAAGAAATATTAATAATTAATAATTTCTAAATATGAAATGAAATAAGATAAGATCTTATCAATATAAGATCATCATCTTTTGAAAAGTGCAGTGTTAACATTTACCAGTGTTAACATTTATACATTTATATAAAATGTACAAATGAATCTAAAAATGACTTTGATTATGTTAATTCTCTTACTAGTGATCAGTTCAGTCAATCCATTTTATTTCAATATTGAAAATAGGTTTCTAAATTTCTGCAAACTATAACTATTTCTGTCCATTAATCATTAGTATCAGCATGTTTGAAAAGTATTTTCATGCTTAATACATACTCCATTTATTAGAATACAATAACAGGCCATATAATTTTTTTTTATTCATAATACTTTTAATTTAACCTTTAGATCCAAATGACTAAAAATACATCTTTCCTTTTTATCTTCATTTGTATAACTTATTCTGTGATAAAAGAATAGCAAGTTATATATCACTTCATTGTATTCTTTTCTCAATGTGAAAATTATAGTAGCTAAGCTAAGTACAATCATTTAATGTAGAGTTAAATAAATGCCAGTGAATCTCAATAAGACAGGAATTGCTTTTTCTGTCAAATGGCAAAAATATTTTCCATGTTATACTTACTAGCTTTCTTCATAGAATTGTTGGCCTTCTGATGTATACTTTTTAGATTGTTAAACCTTGGTTCTTCAATAGATGCAACCAAACTATTGCTCAGATCTATCTTCAGGGGATAAGATTGATTTTATATTCAGCAATCTTATTAATAGTTTTGTTTCCCTCAAGAGGCAATTAATTAAAATATGAAATCAAACTAGACAAAAAAAAAATAAAAAATCAACCTGAGTTCTTATGGATGTAATTAACCATTAACAGCTACTGTATTTGAGAATATTCTAATATCAGTTATCCCATTGCATTATCTAATCATCTTTATCTTACCAACTGAACTGGGATTCAAGTTCACTAAACCTCACTTCCCAATGGAGAATTCAAATTTAGATTAAATCAGAAAACCTGCCAGAAACATATCCTGGAAGAGTTTTATTCATCTGGAATTTTTATTATATCTTTAGCTTTTTAAAGGGTTGATTGTTGAAAGTAAGTTAAAAGTGCAAAAAGTAAAGAAGGAAGAAGAATAATGATTTCCAATTTTCTTGGGTACATGTATCAAACACTCTAAAATTATCAATAGTTTAAATTATTTCTATAATCCCAAATAATTATAAAATCCAAAAATCAAAATATCATATTTCTCAGTTTCTTGGAAATTGACATTATAATTAAATTGGAAAACAATTTCAGATGGATGTTTTTGAGAAAATAAATTATTTTTGAAGAATGGATTTATCATATTCAGACAATAATTGATAAGAGATATTATTAAGGAACAAATGAAGATATTTGTTAAATTATAAATAACAACCCCCCACCCAAAAAATGTAATAAGGAGGTTCTGTTGCACATTGTCAAGTTTATATGGCAGAAATGGATCTGATGATCTTCTATCATCCCCATTTATCCAAAAGTTTCTCTTTTTTTCACTGTTTCTATTTTTGTCTCTTGCTGCTTGTTGTCTGTGAAGGTGCATTCCTCAGAGTTCTTATCTTACCATTTGACCAAGTGCATACAAGCCCTTTCTCAAACCATACAACTTTCATAAGAGTTGTAGCTGTTGTACATCCAGGAGAACATACATTCCAAAGTAATAGGTCTAAATTATATGCAACAAATTATATTTGAATTGCATTTATGCATAATAACTGAGTATCTCTAGACCCGTTGAAGATAAATTAAATCCCATTGCTCTAAAATATAACTTGTAACTTAAATGTACATAATGATTTGTACAATATAATGATTTGAATTGAGATGAGATAATTAAAATAAAATTGAGAAAGTTAAAAGAGGGGGAAAACTATATAGAAAATGTAGAATAGTATAAGATATGGAATAGAACACAAAAAGGAGCATGAAATTGAGTTTTGTGTCTGTATAAAGAAGTTCAACCCGGGACCATGCTATTTTCAAAAAAGATGTTTTACTTGTATTTTGTATGTGTGAAAACCCAAATAAAACTTTTTTTTTTAAAGAACATTTTCAAGTTTAGGTCATCTGCTTTTATGACCTCTGAAAGCCTTTGTTGTCCTTTCGCATTGAATCAGTTCTTCACGTTGCCATCTCCAACGTCTCACCATTGATTCATTAATGCCAAGCTTATGTGCAGCAGCTCTATTTCCTTCCTGGATAGACAGATCGATTGCTTTCAACTTAAAAGCTGCATCATATGCTTTTCTTCGTGTACTTTCCATGATCAGGATGTGAAAATGTGCGTGTCATGCTGCTTGCATTGAGTGCGCCAAAAAGTACTGGTAGCATCTTCTTCTTTGCATTGACCTCTTGCATCTGTCACATTTTTGCGCCCCCTGATGGCAGTTAGCAAAGAAAAATCTATAGATAAGCCACATTGTTGTACAAGCCACAGGGTTCAAAGTGTGGGGAAAAAGTAGCAGCTTATAGTCCGGTAAATACGGTAGTCAATGGGCAATTTCCAAAACTGATTAGAAGATGAGTTTTGTGAACTTAGTGTCTTTTTTGTCTCCCAGCATTCAAACCCACAGAAAATCACTGTCCTATGGTCTCCTCACAAGAAGCAACAAAACAGCACATTTGGTTGATGCCCATTCTCTCCTTATCTGAGCAACAACTTCTATATATTTAATTTTAATCCTACTTTAATTATGTTCCTTTATTTTCTGATCATTAGCACTTACAGATATTGTCATTAACATAGAAGAGGCTATTGAGGTTTCTTCTTTCAGATTTAAAACTATAATCTTCCAATTCAACTTCCCTCAATATATACACAATACATAATCTGCACTATGGGTTCCTCACTGTGTATAGACTGTACATTAGGACAATGAGATGTTCTTGAATTTCATTTTTCTAAACATATCCCACAGTTTAATATGATCAACACACTCACCACATTCACGGTTAAACACTGCAAAAGTCTTAGTAATAGCAATTTGAGATTTTTCCAAGTTGAAAAGCACTCTGGCATTCTACACTGAATTATAAGTTCATCCTCACATTCTGCTAACATCTTCATAATTGTTTTTAAGAACATGTCATCATAATATCATCCATGTTATTTTTAGAGCACTACAGATGTACTCTAAATTTCATCTAGATCTTATTTCTTTAACTGCCATTGTGAGATTATGCAAATTCAACAGGGCACAATTTTCTTTGGCTGATTTACTTTATTCCCTAACAGCAAAGTAAATGAGGAAGCCAGCAGAAATTGGAGGGAGGGAGAGAGAAAGAGGAAGGAAGGAAGGAAGGAAGGAAGGAAGGAAGGAAGGAAGGAAGG